TTAAAGCAAAATTCATTTAGGATATCAAAATTATAAATGTTAAGCATAATATGAATTCAATAATGAATTTATAATATATATTTACAAAATTGAAAATTGAATTAAAACTATTGAAAATTGAATTGCCTTTGGTCCCATTTAACTTTTCTGCACTTGTCAAACAACAACAACAAAATTGAAATAAATTTTATTTAATTTCTCTAACTACATTTAGCAACGCAGACATTTAATTTTCTATTAGATGTAAATCCTCTTTCAACTTTTTGGTATTATTCATCAAAATTAAAATAACAATAAATATTTATTGATGAGCGTTTAGATTAAATTTTCTTAATGTTGACATAGTAGTTAAGTGAAGTTTGATATGACGTGCTGTTTTAAAAATGATTTGTGATTTAAAAAAATAAATTTTAAAGAAAGGGGGGGAAGGGAAAAAGAAAATTTTCTATGATTTGCCGTGCTCTCCTTAGTAAATCATAGTAAAACGAGTGTTAAAATTTGTTTCGATATTCAGAAACGGTGCCATTTTAATGTTATTTTAGTTAGTTAAGCTATGTGTTTCGTTACCGGACATCACAGCTAACGAAAAGATTTTAAAACTATTTTCTGTAGATTTTGCACTCGTAATGTGCCACGTTTTCGAGGAAATGGTGATTATTTAGAAACCTAGTGTTATGACTTTCCTTAATCGTTAATCATCACTAAATAATTAATTCTAAAACTTGGCTAATTAATTCTAATATGTTTAATACATAAAAATATATATATTTTTTATAATTTATGATTTGAACAAATTTGTGCCTGAAGCTGCTTACATCTTTGATTCAATTACTATATGTTGCCAAAGATCAGAGATTATTTGAAATTTTGGATATTCTATTTTGGGACTTCAATGCTAAAAACATGCCAATGAATAATAATTAGATTTATGTTTCAAAAGAGAAGTTATTTTAAGATCTTTCACTTCCATATAAGGAAAGATTAAAAGATTTGCTATGAGTAATAAATAATTTTGATGAGGCGTAAGAATACAGAAAAGGCAATATGACTGGCCTCTTCACACTTTTTAATAATCCTATAAAACGCAGGACCCAATGTTTTTGCGCGGTTTTTCGCTGTTTATAATGCCTAACTAAACCATGTTAGTTTAGACGGGATATGGTTCTCCCCCTCTCCAGCTTGGAGGGGGCTGAGATGTATGCTTTCACCATCGTTAGTAAATAAAAAGAATTATGCAGAAAAGGACTTCATTTTTCCTGTGATGTGGACAATTAATCAAATAAATATCGGGGTTGTTGCCCTGTTATTTCATGTATATATATATATCATATTCTTAAGTAATTTCCTGAAAAATAAACACGTCTAAATTTTAAATTAAACTTGATTTTCATTGAATAATACGCGTACTTATTAAAATGTTAAAATTTAAAATATATGCAAAAGTATAAAAAAAACATATTTTTTGTATTTTTTCCTTTATAAATGATCTTATTTTTGTTTGAATATTTTTTTATGAAATATACTTAGAGTAATCAAGGGAAAAATATTTTGCTACACCCATCTTATCATTTTGCATAATACTTTATTTGCATTTAATAGAAATGCACAAGAAAATTGCACAAGAAGAACTTCAAAAACAAAAAACAATTTTTCTCTGTCTTGGCAAAACTGTATAAAGATAATTGAAGCATGTCTCTAATGAAAGTTATACTAAAAAGTTTAATTATAAAAAAAATCAGCTAAACAAATTTGCTGCTGCAATTTTTAAGCTAACTATTTACTCTTCTAATCAAGTTCTTTTATTAAAATGATTTATTTTCTTTTTCAAAAATAAATTCATAAAATTATAAACAATTATAAATTGTAAGCATTTTATTAAATAAACTTGGAAAATGTTTTTTTTTGTTATTATAGTATCGGTTTGTTTTATAGTATTTTTACATCTTTTCTTGAAGAAAAAAAATTAATGATTATAGTAATATAAATAACATAGATACCATGAGCAGTTTTTTTAATATTTTATAGCCAGTAGCAATCCAACCGAAAAGAAGACAATTTCATTGCAAGCAAAAATAAAAATAAATGCATGCAATAAAAAACTGTTGTAAGTTGTTAACATTTTATGAAAAAGGCAATTGAACCTATTTAGAATGTTTTGGCATATGAGGTATTTTCAAACAACGATCTTTGCAATTACAGTATTTATTAAAGACAAATTTAAAAATCATATTAATAACAATATGAGGGTGATCTAATCGATTATGTTTTTCGATTTACATTTCGTGGCCATTATAGCGACCCCCTGCCCTCCGAATAAGTAACCCAAGAATAATAAAGTAGAATTATAAAAAAGGTGACAAAAATGACTTAAAAATTAATGGCTAATAGATTTTTTTAAAAATTAATTAATTAACATTAAGAATACTTAAAGAAAAATTTCATTGTAAGTAGTGATTCATCAAAATAATAATAATAATAATAATAAAATTATAAAAATATCCTTGAGACGACAAAAATTGAATGCTAAAGGTAAAGCTAAAGGTTGTAGCTAAAGGTAAAATTTTTAAAATATCTTTTGATTTATGTAATCGCAATTACAATCTAAGTTTTCTTCAGTAATATTCAGTAAGAGGGATTTAATTAAAACACATATTTTTGTTTGGCTCCCATAAATGTGTGATAAGGAATATTGCAGAGGCTAATGGTTGCGACAGCAGAGATAGCATGAAAAGCCGAGGTAGAAGAATCGAGGATTGGATCGAAGACCGAAGGTAAGAGGACGAACCGGAATAGTTCCTGCTCGGATGAATACCGGCGGAGGAGCACAACCGGCGGTCAAGGCAGGGTGTGAAGAGGCTGCTGTCCAGTACTTAAGGAGATGACAGTTTGCCTTCGAGAGGCAAACTGTCATCTCCTTAATATCTCAAAATAACTTAAAATATCTCAAAGAATTCGGACTTCTCCCGGAAAAGAGTGCAGCTCAGGCGAAGAAGAGGGGAGGAGCTTAGGCCCCTCCCACTTTTCCTCATCATCTAATGGGATTCAGGCAATAGCCGAAATATCTACAACATTAGATCTATCCTAGAGAGACCAGTTCAGATCGAGCGTTTCATAGGCGGCAGATTTCAAGTACAATGCTACAAATGCCAGAAATTTGGACACGCTCAGCGCAGTTGTACAGCCACTGTTCCCGCCTGCATGAAATGTGCTAAAGATCACTTCTCGTACGAATGTACAAAACCACCCACAGAGCCAGCGACCTGCGTCAACTGTAACGGTGAGCACCCAGCCTGTTTTTCGGGCTGCGGTGCAAGACACAGGAAGCTCCCTAAAGAAAGGAAACCCAAGAATGCCACAGACTCTGCTTCCAAATTTCTATGACTCTTCCAAGAAATGAAAGAACTACTAAAAGATGAAGAGCTTGTGAAGCTGCTTCGCTCCCTCCTCCCTGAGCCACAGAACTAGTGTTTCACTGCCTACAAGTTATCCTCTCATATGACTTTCACAGCTTTAGGCTGTGATGATGAACTTTTTCATATATTTCTTTATGAAATTTATGTCTATTCAACTTAGGACTTTTTAATTTAGATGAATCAGTTAGCGGCGCTTCGCGCCGAATACTGAGATACAGAACATTTTCAGCATTCCATCGAGAGGGTTGTTGCGCAGCGTCTAAGACTTCGTATCGATATTCCGTTTCTACCCGGTGACGCCCACCTGCAGTATGAGATGTTTACAATCGAAAGTTTAAGTTTTAATTGTTCTTTTAATGACAACTTGTAAATGTTTTTAAAGAATAACCTGTTAATTGGATTTTGTGAGTTTCTTGATGGTTTGTTTTCTTTTACTATTAAAGAGGATGTTTCATTTGACGTCTTACATTCCCATCACCGAAACTTATACAATTGGTGACCTGTGAACGAATACGTATATTTCTGTTTCTGAAAACTGCATTTGGGAAATTCTACTAGTTGATGGATTAGGGAGAAATGCTGGTACGTTTCAAGTTTTAAAATTTTTGGCAAGTCGTGAGTACAAATTGATTCTATTGTTGGACTTATACATTTCGGATTAATGCATAAAATGCCAGAATCTACTGAAATTGCTGATCAACAAATTGCTCGTGTCACTGTAATGCCACCACCTTTTTGGAGAGCTAATCTAGAATTGTGGTTCAGACAAATTGAAAGTCAGTTCACTCTTGCTGGAGTAAGTACAGAGTCAACGAAATTTCACCACGCAGTTTCTGCTCTACAACCGGAGGAACTGGCGATTATCAGCGATATTATTAGCAGTCCACTTGTGGATGAGACTTTCACCACACTTAAAAAAAGATTGTGAGCTCAAACTGCTGAATCTGAAGCTCAACGTTTAAGGGATTTGATTTCGGGGTTGCAACTTGGCGACCGCCGTCCTTCAAGACTGCTTCTGGAAACGCGGAATAAAGCCGGCGCGAGAATTAACAATGAACTTCTTGAATCTTTACTTTTGCACAGGTTGCCTACTAATGTTCAACAGATTTTGGCGAGTTCCAACGATAAACTGGACAAGCTGGTGGAGATGGCGGATGGTATTATGGCTACGACAACTAACGCACAGTCAGTCAGCGTAGTTGCTGGTTCGACGGATCAGACGGATTTACGGTCTTTATTGACAGAGATCACAGCTCGTCTCTCACGGTTGGAAGCCCGTACAAGTGGCAGGTCAAGAAGTACTAGTTAGAAACGCTCTACTAGCCGAAGCCGACACTCTGCAAATGCACAGTATTGCTGGTATCATAAAATATTCAAGCAACGAGCGACAAAATGCCGACCTCCATGTTCGTCCCAACCGGAAAACTGCTCAGGGCGTCATCCAGTAAAAAAGGTGACGGCGAAGTGATGATTCAGGGGCTTTATCTGGCGGACAAGTCTACATCCTCACGTTAACTCATCGATACGGGAGCTGATGTTTCTGTGATACCTCGTGCTGCCTATGCATCTAGAGACCATTCTTCACAGATGAAATTGTTCGCCGCAAACGGTACGACCATTCCAACGTTTGGCCAACGCCTGTTGAAATTAGAACTCCAACTCAGAAGAGAGTTCAGCTGGCCTTTTATCATCGCTGTCGTGCCTCATCCAATTATCGGAGCTGACTTCTTACGCAGTTTTGGTTTATTAGTCGACGTCAAAAATGCTGCAGTAATTGATCCTTTGTCCAAGTTGCAAACAAGAGGTACCCGGTATGCTGGGATTGCTTCAACGGTAAAGGTAATTTTAGAGAACTATAAATTCCACAATTTGTTGTCAGAATTTTCTGCCCTGATTAGATCAGCTGTCACGCCAAGAAAAGTTAAGCATGGAGTAGAACATTGGATACAGACAAAAGGACCTCCTATTTTTTCGAAACCTCGACGTTTATCGCCAGATAAGTTGAAAGATGCAAAACAAGAGTTTGAATCTCGTAGCATCAGGGGTTTGCCAGCCTTTCAAAAGCTGTTGGGCAAGTCCGTTACACATGGTTCTAAAAAAGAATGGCGACTGGCGACCGTATGGTGATTTTCGTCGTCTTAATGGTGTGACCGTGCCAGATAGGTACCCTGTTCCCCCACATGCAAGACTGTTTTCTGGTTTTGGAAGGTAAAAGGATATTTTCTACCTTGGACCTGGAAAAAGCGTATTATCAGATTCCAGTGCGCGGGGAAGACGTGCCAAACACCGCGGTAACAACCCCGTTTGGATTGTTCGAGTTTTTGTATATTCCGTTTGAATTATCAAATGCAGCCCCAACTTTCCAACGCTTCATTCATTAAGTCTTAGGTGAGTTTGAATTTTGTGTACCTTATTTTGATGACGTATTAGTATCGTTGAAGAACGAAGAAGAACATTTAATGCATTTAAAAAGGGTTTTTCACTGTTTTGCTCAATATGGTGTAACTCTCAACGTAAGCAAATGTGTCTTGGGACAGTCTTCAGTAGAATTCCTAGGGCATTGTGTAACGGAAAAGGGTATTACTCCGCTTCCTGATAAAGTTTCTGCAATTGCTAATTTTCCTCAACCAGTTACAATAAGAGAGCTGCGTCGATTTCTTGCGGTCTTGAATTTTTATAGAAGATTCATACCTAGAGCTGCCCACACTCAAGCAATTTTAAACGAATATTTAAAAGGTGCTAAGAAAAATGATAAAAGCGCGATCAAGTGGTCGGAGGAAGCAGTTACTGCCTTTGAGAAGAGCAAGAAAGAATTGGCGAATTCAACCACGCTGTACCATCCTGTCATGAATGCACAGTTGGCGATGGTGGTAGACGCTTCAGATACTGCGATGGGTGCTGCTTTGCATCAGCAGATCGAGAAAGANGAAAAATCATTTGACCTTATGCAAAAAAAATTGAAATTATGGCACTGAAATAAGTATTGTATACTGTCCATAGTCAAAATTGCTTTAAAAAGTTTTTAGAATATCAATGTTCTTGTGTTCAATTCTACCGTTCTAAGCAGGAAGGTAATAAATGTAAATTCTTGACATTTCAATTTTCCTCTTTATTACTTTCTCTTTCATTATAATAATGCTAAATGCTGTGGGAGTTTAAGTTTAACACTCTACGTACATCGCTGGTCATTTTAAAATGGTTTTAAACTTAATGGAGGGAATGAGACTTTTTTATATCATTTCTTTTATCAAGTTTTTCTTACGTATAAACATGCTTTTTGTGTTATTTGCATATTTCTTATTAAATATTGAGTTAATTATATATTTTTTATTATATTCACGAAATTATAAGTAAATGGCATCAAGTTTGTTTTTTAAGCATGACTCTAAAATTTGATTCAGAATACATTTCTTAAGCAATGTGATTATTTGCAGAGTGATATACAACGTGTTATATAAATTAAATATTTAAAAGAGGAAGTTAGAGAATTAAGAGGATGTTCAATTTTCTCTAAGGATTATCAACTATTTTTCTTATTAATTTTTTCAACAAACTTCATTATGAGTTCCAATTTTTTCAAGGTGAATCTCACTTTCGGATATACTGAGCAAAATTTGACAATTCCGATTTATCTTAATCGAATAAGGTCAATTAATTTTCCCTCTTTTTTTACTGCAATCGTCAAAGTTCTTTTTTTCTACACTTTCCTCAATTTTAATCACCTTGCTTTCAAGTTGTGGAAATTTTTACAGAAAACGTTTTCTCATCTTTGCGTATATTGTTGTCTTGGTTGCCATGATAATTAATAACCAAATTTTCTGCTTATCTCTCTTTTTAATACTAAAATTTCCTTTTTTTTATTGTAACACATTTTCTCCATATTTATTCCTCCTACTGAAGAATAAGTAGGGCTTTTTGGCTGGTAATAATTCTTTATAATTTGGAAATAATGTATAAGGTTTTTATTTATTTAATTTCATTGCACGTTTATTTTATGTTTGCTCACATTTAATCCTTTCTTTTTTTTACATATATTTTTTTGAAATAATTTTTAATTTCAAAATATTGACGATTTTTAAAAAAAGCGCCTCCGAGGTTTGAACTCTCATCATTCTTGTCGGTCGGTAAGCAAGTCGGTCGGTTCCAAGCTTGTTTACGTGCTATCGACATACTGTTTACAGATAAATAATTGTGTTTTAGAGCCTTTTCTGAGAAATTTTTATCTAATTGGTTATTAGATTTTGTTATTTTAAATTTGTATCTAATTGGATTTATATAACTTGGTATTCATATAATTTACTTGGATTGTTTAACTGTGGATTATTTAAAGTTTTGAAAAAAAAAGACGACATTTGATCGAATTTGCAAGGCTTTAAAATAGTATTGTAATATGTTTTCAAATAAAAGAAACACCTTATAATTTAAAAATAATGTATGAGATTTTGATTTATTTATTATTTTTATTAATATCTTTTGCACACACTTTTTTTTAAAAAACTTTTTTTTAAAAAAAACCATTTTTAAGTTTTTAGAATTACAATGTTCTTGTGTCCAATTCTACCGCTCTAAGTAGGAATGCAGATAACTCGAATTCTTACCGTTTAAATTTTTCCTCTTTTTTACCTTCGTTATTAATATAATAATTCATAAAAAATATTTAGGATATTTTTATTTATTTATTTTTTTTTCAAAATCTTTTTTACACAAATATTTGTTCTTTCTTTTTTTACACATATTTTTACCGAAACCATTTTTTATTTCAAGGAATGGATGATTTATCAGAATCTTTTTTTAATAATTGCTTGAATCATCGAATGACAAAATGTCTCTTTATTACTGTGAAATATCTATTAAATTGGGAATTGAAAAATGCCACGAAATACAGAAGCACCAGTTAATTTTCTTTAACTATATTAATATAATTTTTATTACTAATTGATACATAATGTTTAATTACCATTGAAAAACTTTCTCAATACTTTTATTAATATTTCCATGGAAATTCGGTTTTAAAACTTTAAAAATTCTCATTGAACTCTAAAATCAATTATACTTTCAAGGTTTTAAATTTAAATCTTTACCATGATGCTCACAATGATACACGAGCACAATAACTTCTCATGTGTAAAAAATCTTTATATCCAAATGTATTCAAACAAGACTTCAGCGTCTGAATGATTAAACTTTGTTTCAAAATCCTTCATTGCCGTGCCCAGGACTCGAATCTGGGTTACTGGGGCCACAATTTAATTTATTAACAACTATACGATCACGACATATACTAACGAAACGTTTAAACTCGAACTTCATCACGGTAATAATTACATGCTGAAAAATTTATGGAATATGTTAAAAAAATTATTGTCTTTCTAAATTTTAAATATAGATCGCAGCACTATATAAATTTTTGATTTATTTGCCCCTATTAAACCTAAATTTAATATAGTGCTCCAAATTGAAATCCATTCAACATCAAAGCACGGTATTATAATTGTGTTATAAAAATAATACGTTTACTTCAGAAAAGGGGAAATTTTTATTTGAACTGCTTTAAATGAATTATTACTAAATATTTGTTTAAAAGGAGCTAATTTTAAAATATTTCTATAAAAATAGTCAATTTTTTTGTCAGCAATAAAAACCAAATTTATTTGAGAATTTCTATCGATTATCGTTAAGAAAACATAAAAAAATCATTTAAATGTAATGCTTACCTTAACTATAGTTTTCTATTACAACATGTTACAATATTATTTTAAAATAATAAATATTACTAATATTTAAACATTTTTATTTAATATTCAAATATCACTAATATTTAAATGTTTTTATATATTGACTTCAATGATCAAACTACATTTTTAAAAGAAAAAAGATGCATAATTAAAATTTTTTAAGCGTCAAGTCTCATCAAAATATTTTTAACAAATCTTGCATAACGCTTTGAATGTTAAGCTTTTTTTTCTTTTGAAAAAAATGCGGGATTTTAAAGCTGAATGATTAAAAGAATTTTATAATTTGTTTGCTGGAAAATTTTCATCTTTCTCCAGATTATCCAACTTAACAATAACTAATTTTTCGCCATTGCTTTAGTTCCCCAATTTGAAAAAATTGTTGCATCAACGTCGAGGGCAATTTAAATACAGTAATATTTAAAAAAAAATTTATTTTAAATTGTATGAGTTTCTGGAAAATTTGCTTAATAATTTAGCATCTTTCAGACAGAATTTATCTGCTCTAAATTTTCTATGAAGTATTCAAAGAACGTTTTTAAAAATAAATCTTATAAGCTTTACGAAAACCAGCATGAACATTAATAGTGCACATATTTATTCTATTTGTTTGTGCATTTTTATTTCAAAACAATCTGCATTGCTATATTTAAGCCTTTCAAATTAAATTTCAATTAAATGTCTTCTTTTTTTCAAGATTTTAATTTACCCACAGTTCTACAATGCAAGTACCTGCAAACCATAGAATTACCAAGTTATAAAAATCCATATACATAAAAAAATTGAAACACGAAAATATATCTAAAAAACGTTATAAATTACAATTCAGTCTTCCAAAAATAATAAAATTTTAGCGTGTAAATTGTGTAATCATATTCTTAAGAATTTTCACTGTGTATGGTGGTTAATGTACTTGACTACCAAAATCAACTATAAGAGAAGGAGCCGTAGTAGCGTTTATGTATAACAATGAGAGAAGTGTATAAGAGATCTAAGAATAGGAAAAATTAATTGGTGCTTCTGTATTTCGTGGCATTTTGCAATTCTCAATTTAATAGATATTTCACAATAAGAAAGAGAGATCTTGTCATTCGATGATTCAAGAAATTACTACCAAAGATGCTGATAAATCGTCCATTCTTTGGAAAAAAAATTGCTTCAGTAAAAATATATGCAAAAAATAGAAAGAAAAAATTTTTGTGAGAAAAAGATAAAAAACAATAAAAAAACCAAAATCTCATAAACTTTTTTATATATCGTTACAATAATAACGAAGGTAAAAAATAGGAAAAATTGAAATGGCAAGAATTCGAGTTAACTGCTTTCCTGCTTAGAACGGTAGAATTGAGCACAAGAACATTCTAAGTCTCTAAAAGCTTAAAAATGGATTAAGAA